ATATATATAACAAAATAAAAGAATAATATGCGGCAAGCTTTCTATGCTTCCCCTATAGCATAAAACTTCTATACTTCCTCGCTATCCAACCACTTAGATGGCCCCAATCATAATGTCACCCTTTATACTATTTTATTTTAAAAATTTTTTCTACAAAACATTTTGAAACCAAAATTTTTTGAACTTGCACCTATAAAAATATTAAAAATATATTCTCAATAAAATAAAATAACTACAATGCCTCTGAAAGTTTTAGGGGTATTTTGGTCATTTTATTTTATTAAAAATATTTTTTAATATTTTATTTACTTGCGGCCCATTAAGGTGATGGCATGTACCAAATTTTATATTAATATATTTATTAGAAAAAATTAAAAATAAAATACTTTGAGGCGTCAGATATAGATTAAATGATTAGTGGCTCACTTGATTTAAATTGGACGGCTGAATAAAAGGGGAAGTATGTATCTTTTATGTTGTAGGGGAAGGATAGAAACTTTTCCCATTTGTACGACCCCAAAAATTACACACGTCTGCTCTTCATCCTATTAATCAATCTTCTAAAAAATAAAATTCAATTTGTACATCATATATGGTCAAAATAAGTACCCCTCCAACAATGAATCCACACCATCCATTTCATAAATTTCAATATCTAGATCGTTACTAGTATAGAATCATTTTTTTTCTCTTTTTTAACATTGTTCACCTAATCATAATAAAGCCATATAAAAAATTTTGAAATGGCAAAAAATTCTAAGGCCTAGATCTAAGCATCTTGTCAAAATTGACGGCCTATGTTAATTAGGTCAAATAAAATACCTTATAGCGTGTGTTTTCAAGTTTTGTCTTTTTTTTTATGGATGAGGTTTCCATAATGCCTAGGATTTATGAAAACGTAATAAACCCTCACCTCAAAATCATTGTCCTGAAAATACTTTCGGCAACGAAAATCTCTATGATGGCTCTAGAATCAGTTTTCAACACGAACAATAAAATTTGAAACTAAAAAAATAGTACAGATCTTGTGGATTTATGAACACTTATTTTTTAGGCAAAGTAGACAATCTATATAATTTGTTTATAACATATACTATTTCTAGAACTTGAAATCCTAATTTGTTTTCACAACCATAATGTTCAAGGTTTCAAATACTTGACTTAAAATTTTCGATGAGTTATTAGGTGATGATTTATTTATTTTGATAGGGCTGCAACCCTATCAAACTACTTTTTTTTTTTTATTATTCATTAGAATGAAAAGAGTATATATTTAAAAGTGGAAAAGTTTATATAAGGTTGCAACCTTAAAATGTGGAAGTAAAGTTGCACCTCAAAAATCTATCAATAAAGTTTGTTTTAATGTTGAAAAACCCTCTAATTGATCATCTCGACATCAAGATGGATGAATATGGAAAAAAAAAAAAAATACTTCGAGTCCCAAAAATAGTGAATGTTATAACACATTATCTAGACCATTCATTCTCAAGATTTTCATATGTTTATAGATTTACTTGATTTTAACCATTTTTTAGTTTAAAATTTTATAATTAGATATGAAAATAGATTTTTAGATAGCTCTAATAATTCATTACACCAAAATTACATATTATGATAGTGCGCCTTAATTTGGATTGCTTAAGGTTGCAACCTTATAGAAACCACACCCTTTAAAAATTAAGATCAACCAAATTGCCTTAACATGTTTTTTAAAGGTTGTTTTATTATATTATAGTATGGAATTACTCCTCAGCAAAATATGTTATGTTATTGCAAAATTATAATTATATGACCGTCTATTCCTGCGGCCTCGATTCCTTGCTACAGCTTTTGACGCGTCGGATTGGATCACCGACGTACGGTCTAGATTCTCTAGATGCTATGGACATGTAATACAATTGGGACAAAATCGCGATCCATGAGGTCACGGTGACATTGTAGTCATTTGGGGACTAGGGTCATTATCACCTTCCCTTTGATGAATGGGCGGGGATGCCACATTATATGGTGCCGGGACTCACTCTCCCTCCTGCATGGTTCATGCATACTTTCCGATTGGAGTAGTCACCACTAAATACCATCAAGGTCCCCAAAAAAATATCAAAAACATTTATATTTGTTTGTAATTTTGGTACACTTCAAAATTCCTATATAAGAGAGTTTTTCAATATTAGACAGCCCTCAAATTGATCATCTCAACCTAGGTGTCGTTATGAATAAAAAAAAAATTTCAAGTCTTAAAATAGTATATCATGTAACGAGTTATCTAGACTATTTATTTTTAAGATTTTCAAGTGTTTATAGATCTTCTCTATTTATACTACTTTTTAAATTTTAAATTTTATAACTAAAAATTAAAAATATATTTTAAGATCATCAAAAGGGTTCCGGACACTAGATTTACATCTTCAAATAAATTTTAGAAGTCCACCTTACTTCTATAGTATAAAGACGGTGCCTTATCCAAACCTCACCCAAAATATATTACATGGATAAGGTACCAAGTGGCACTCATATAAAGGTCACATAACGTCTTCCGGTCTTTAAGAGGCATCAAGCAATAAAGTGAGTGCGACCAAGTAAATAAAGAGGCACAAGCAAAGTTAGTAATTAACATTTATGACCAAATTTTAAGAATGCAAAATATGACTAAGAATGGATAATGTTGCTCCAATTACGCAAAAGCATTTTCTATATGCTAAAAGATTTTATGCTCCCGTACGAGTATACTGTCTATTTATTCTTTTAGGTAAAAATGCAAATTTTGGGAAGCCTAACCTCCACAATCCATAGTCTAACTTCCAAAAAAAAAAAATTTCCAAACCACAGTCTATATAAACTTAAAAGAAAAAGATGTGTCAAGATTGAACTAGACCATCCAATTTCTTAAGGATGAGATCAGAGTATTAAAATACTCGAAATGTAAACTTTTTCTTTTGAAATAATTAATAGGTGGTTCTCAAATTTTCAAATCAAACGAATCATTAGGTGATCGGACTGAGGGAGTATATGTACAGTTTGCTCCCTTATAAAATAGTTTTACATTCTCCATTTTATAACGGTAGAAGCATTTTTGCTTTTGATGGAAAGTTTGAGGGGTACACGCATTTCGACTCCATCCACATCCTTTTTTTAGCCAATCATGTGAGGCACATAGCATGCTCCTGTGAGAGTATACTATACGTTGAGTCCATCAGGTGAGAGTTTTTCGCAAAACAAAAATTACAAAGTAGGGCCGTTTCGCTGGAAATCCGACGGACTGTAATTCAAACGCTACGCGTCCGTTACTTCCGTGACACGCTTAAGGCAACCTCTGCATGAAAACATCCTAGAACCCCCTTCCCCTCCCCAAGTGTTTCTTTTTCTCTAACACCACTGCATCTCTCTCCATTTCTCTTTTTTTCTCTACAGTTCTCATTGCATTTTTTCTTTCTCTCTACAGTTACCACTACATTTCTCTTTCTCTCTCTACAGTTACCATTACATTTCTCTTTCTCGCTCTACACTCCAAGTTTGGTGGTAATGGCTTCCCCTCACAACCAGCAACCGAAATCTCTCTACCCCACAGTGATCGAAACAAATCCAGAGCGAGACTCCGCCTTCTCCACATCCAAACCATCTCCATCTCTTTACCCCGTCGTCGGCTCGGGCCCCCCTCTAACTGCTCCATCTTCCTCCGCAAAATCCATGTATCCTTCATTCGATATGAAAGACCTCGTGGAAAACCTCTTCCCTGATGAAATCAACGAAAAGGGAAGCAGCGAGGCGCCCACTGCGCCACCGGAGGCCTGTGAGGAGGTACTGGTCTGTGTCCCGGGTGCGGTCGCCCACCTGATTGATGGTCAGCACAGCATCGAGCTGGCATGCGGTGTCCTCAGCATCGTGCGCCTCGTCCAAGGCCCCAATGTCATCGCTGTCTTTGCTCGCATTGCCGATGATATCCAGTGGCCTCTTGCGAAAGACGAGACGGCGGTGAAACTCGATGAAAACCACTATTTCTTCACCCTTAGGGTTCCTGATTCGGACGAGGAAGTTTCAACTGATCCATCAGACAATATTGTCAGTTATGGCATCACCTTTGCATCGAAAGGTCAAGAAAATCTCTTGAAGAAACTGGATGGGATTCTTGGGCAATACAGTTGTTTCTCTGTGCAAAAGGTTTCCAAGGGTTCGTCCGAGGTTTTGGATAGTTCTGTGGCCAAGGGGCTTGAGCCTTCGGAGGTGGTTTCATCAGAAGAGAAGAAGAAGCTGATGGAGGCGACATCGGCTGCGTATTGGACGACTCTGGCCCCGAATGTGGAGGATTATAATGGGTTGTTGGCAAGGACAATTGCAGCAGGTTCAGGGCAGCTTATAAAGGGTATACTGTGGTGCGGCGATGTGACAGTGGATCGGTTGAAGTGGGGAAATGACTTCTTGAAGAAGAGGACGGAGCCTAATGCCAAGCCGGCTGAGGTTAGTCGCCAAGCCATGAGAAGGATGAAGAGGTAAAGTCTTTCTCTCTCGCTGGCTTTGTAGTATTTCTTTTATATGTTTTCATACGTTACATTGTTTTTTCATTTAATTTCATGGGCCACTCCTCTCTTCTTGGGTTTTTCTGGTGATCATTGTACCTGTTTTTAAGATTTTCTTAGACTTCTATTTAGCAATTTATTTATGGGGTAGTTGTTTATTTGTTGATATGGTGATATTGGCTTTGTTGATTAGGGTTAAGCGAATGTCAAAGATGTCTGAGAAAGTAGCATCTGGAGTACTATCTGGGGTGCTAAAGGTATCTGGGTTTTTTACTAGTTCTGTTGTAAACTCAAAGGCAGGGAAGAAGTTTTTCAGTCTTCTACCTGGGGAAATTGTTCTTGCCTCTCTTGATGGGTTTGGTAAATTACTAGTCTACCTGTTGCTCTTTACTTTGGAAAATGCTTAATGATTTCAGTGACTTATATTTATTTCTCCTTCAACTCAAAACACTGCAGATTACATTCGGAAATTTCAATCTTGGTCTGCAACAACTCCTGGCTCTACATTTACTGATACAAATGTTTGTTTGTTCATTATCTTTCTTGAATCTATGACCACTGTCTGCACTACCTAGTATCTGCTCTTTGATTCTATGGAATTTATTATTCACAGTTAGATGATTTTTGGCTGATTCTTGGACAACCGTGTGCTAGCTTTCATTCATTTCTTTAGAAGAAACTTCACGTTTCATTTAGTGAGTCTACTGCATTTCGTTTTTCTTTTATATGTGTTAATTCCCTTTGCTAAACTAAACATTTGCTGAAATTCTCTGCTTGTTCAATTTCTTTAGTGCTTTTTTATACTCAACAATGACCTTGTCTAAGATTCTCTTCGAGTGGAGGCAATTTGGTAGTGCCTTGTTGATCCTCAACTATTACCTTGTCGAAGATGTTCAAGAAAGGACTTGGGTGATACAACTCACGATTTTCCCAAATCCATAAAGCATGTGCTCTATCCTAAATATTAATACTTAAACGGTATTAAATTATTATGCACATACCTATTATGTTAATTTTATTCAAAAATTATAGTTTTAGCCATATTATATGATGTGCTCTAGGTATAAATTTTTATATGTTTGTAGCATAGTTTAGATAAATGACGCTTATGTACTTCATGTTACATGTGGCCAGTTTACTTAAAGTATTTGAGGAGTATACAGTATTGGCATCAATGTCTTATCGTGGTATCTTTGGGACTCATATAAAGCATCCTGGTCTTTCGAGTTGTTGATTATGATGAAAATTCTCTTGAAAAGACAGCCTCAGACACCAAGTATATCCTCATCCGCAAGCAAAGAATCCTTCCTGTGCATTATTTAAACTTTTTGGTGGATATATCTAGTGGTTGATTTGTAATCTCGTTACCTTCAATTGCTAGGGTTGTCGAAAATGACAATAGGGAACTGGAACTCAAAGAAGTGAGCTCTTCCCTTTTCGGATAAATTTGGGCTCAAGGACATGATTTGCAAAGTCTTCAAGTCCATGAGTCTTGTTTGTATTGATCACTAGAACCAGTGGTTTAAAAAACGAATCGGTGATCAGGATCGGGCACCTCAAAAACCCATCCGGATCGGTGAATGGGCGATTCGGATCGGGAATCAACCGAATCGGTAGGATTAAGCCTTAAAAATAATTCGAAAAAATTATTAAAATTCATTATAAATGTTGTTTTTTAAGAATCCAATTAGAAATGGGGGTACTCCATTAGAGAATTTTCATTTTTTTGCATGAATATGCGAATATTGATATGTACTTTCCCTGCATGAACTACTGTTTACTATTTAATTTACATCACATAAAAGGATAAGCATAGAATTATCGTGGATTAAGTATATCATCATACATGGACTACAATAAAGCATACAATTCGTAAAAAATAAAATGACAGATAACATCGTTCTTCATCTTGGTCACTCTGATGCCATTGATTGAATTCGCATGACAATTCATTGACTCGATCTAAAACGAATCATCCAAATTAGTGGGCACCTGATTATACTCAAATCCCTGATTGTTAGTATTTTGTTGGGCTCCTAATCCAAAATCCCCCAAAGCTTGTCCATCCTTCATGTTCACCTACACTGTCGTATTGTGATATGTTGGCGGGCTGCGTCCTCTTTCATGCTGCTCATCACCTTCTTCAAGATCTTCCTCACCGATAGCCTCAAGGAACGCTTTTTGTGCAACACTGGCTCCTCTTCCTATATTACCCATTGTTCTGCTGTGTCTGTGACAAATATTGTGTCCAAATCTATCAGCCCGTAGTCTTCAAGTTTCCTTTTTATTCGTTGCTCTCGGAGGTTTAAGTTGTAATGAACATAGATTAGTTTATGAAGCCTCTTCGAAGTGAGTCGATTCCTCCTAGTAGTGTGCAACCATTGGAACGTACTCTAGTTTCTCTCACACCCAATAGTAGAACATGTCTGAGAGAGCACCTTGATTGCTATCCTCTTTATGTGAGGTGCATCACTACCATATATCCCCCACCATTCAGCTGGATTAAAATGCAAAAAACATTGTAAGGGCAAGACCAATTCATAAGATTAAAGATATGAATGAACAAAATATTAGTTAGGGGTTAACCTGGATCCATCTTAGTTCGAGAATTACTGGCAAGTCTAGTTCCGAAAAATCCTATAACATCCCTATACATAGCAAGCTAAAACAAAATATTTCGTTTTAGTGCATTATTCCTCACAAATATAATAACTCAATGAAGTTCTTATCCAAATATTAAATATTAGCTCTTATATTGTTGTTACTTGGTTTCGATGGCTTATCTCCAGCCTGGCAATAATGTATCTGACCCCTTCCATAATCTTGTAGGGATGTTCAAGTTTCAAATAAAAAAAATTTGGGTTGATGTAGTAACCTAGAAAATACATAGATAGAGAAAGATCATTTAAAATTTCATAAAAAAATAATTTAGAATTAAACATTCTAAGGATATAAATATATATGTACCTGTATAATGAATTGGACGGCCGAATTTGGTGTTCCACCTTCTTTCTATAATCTCAATCACTTTACTAACAAAACTACACTTCTCCCCAATAGCTCATTTGACTCTCTCGATACTTTCGTAAAGGATAACCATGGTAGCTTTCTTGTCAGTATCCACCATTCTTAAAATCGTGACCAAAGAGGCAATGGCCTCTACGACACTGGAACTTCGAGACCAGAACTTCCTATTTGAGACTATGTTGTCCACTTTTAGCCCGGTACTAGACTTCGAGAGGCGGTCATTTAACCACTCTTCACTGGTAAACAATCTCTTTAATGCACCTTCAGATTCCCGAATGGAGTCCACAGCCAAGTAATCTATCGCAAAGCAGGTCATGGCAGGTCTGATTAACTCTTTTTTCTTAGACTGTTCTCTGAACAAAAATAAGATTGTAGAGTGGTTGTATATAAATTTTGATACTAACCTCGCTTCCTGTAGAGTATCCTTCACAATTTTGATCTCACTAATCTTTTCTAACATAAAGATCGATGTTGTGTGCAGCACACGGGGTCCATACTAGATGATTTCTCTTATCCATCAACTTGCTGCCCGCAGAAACACATGCACGTGCATTGTCGTAATAAATTGGATTACATGCTTATCTCCCACCTCCTTCACTATCTGATCATATAGTCGTACCAAGAAGTTTGCATCCTTCTTTATCCTTGATACGCCTTTGTTAGACAAAAAGGTTGTACCTTTTGGGGAATAGGCCAAGAAGTTAAGAAACTCCTTTTTGCTAACTTTATTCAACCAACCATCACTCATGAGAGTAATGTTTGTTCTTAGCCAACTCTGTTTATATTCTTCAATCTACTTTCTAACTTCCTCCACCTCTTCATCCAAGATCGACCCACTTAGCTCATATGCAGTCGGGGGCTTTACCCCTGCCCCGGCTCTCTGGATTTCGTTGACCATAGGTGGGAAATATAGGATATTGGCTGCATCAAAGGGGTTCCCTTTATTGTAGAACCATTTACCAACATATCTGCCCAACATGTTTCTCGTACCTTTCACTATGCCTTTGAGGGTCATTTGTTGTGACTTTTGCTTTGAGAGAAATGGGTCTATACGACCATGACCTGCAATACTGGCACTCCTAGATAAGCTAAGAACAATTTTTTCAAGGTCTGGTTCCTCTTGATACGTATTGTCACCAACCCCTCCATACATATTCGAGCTGGGCCAACTATGCATGCTCGAGTTGGGCTTGCCATGCATGCTTGAGCTAGGCCCACCATACATGCCCATGTCATAACCACCAGGCATTCTAAATCTGCTTTCCCTCTGGTACGTTTCCTGTAAACTCATTCTTGTGGCCATCTCCAAGTTATTGTTATATTGCTCTTCTGGATCATTCCCGCTCGATGGCATATATAAACCAGCTATCTCTTCATCCATCCTCTGCTTTGCAATTTTACCTTTGGTAACTTTGAGAATGATCGTCATTTGCTTTCTTACATTACTAGGGACACTATTGCATGCACAAACATCTCCCTTAACCCCTGTCAAGTGTTGCTTGAACCTATGTACCCCACTACTTAACACTTTTTGGCAATAATTACAAATAATTTTGTCTTTTTTGTTGGGATCAAGTCTGACCCCATGTTGCCATGCAGGGTCTTCTCTGGATCTTGCCATGGTTCAACTGTTTTAATATGTAAATGATTAAAAATTAACTTGATAATTCTAAATGAAAAATGTTGAAAAATAATCACCATGTGTAGTGATAATATGTAAAGGTAGTTCATGAAGTTATCTTTGTTGTTAATGCAAAATACTTCTACTGGCAAAAATATTTTAGTTTTTACTGGCAAAAATAATTTATTTATGCAACATTATAGATAAAAATAGTCTATATCAGCCACTACATATACGACAAAAAATTTACGATGATATTTTTTATTGATTTACAATGGTATAGTAATTCACAATGCCAATACATATGGACTCGTTACAAATCTTCATTTTGACAAGCATTAATTAGTTTCTACTGGGAAAAAAAATTATTTATGCAACATTATAGATAAAAAGAGTTTGTATAAGTCACACTTAGAATCAAGAAAAAAAATTACAATAATATAGTCATCCATAATGCCACTACACGTACATTTGGCACAAAAAATATTTACAATGATATAGTCATTCACAATACCACAAATAATATTTACAATGATATAGTCATTCAAGACAATATAATTATAAAATATGTATCAAGAATATACATACATTTTTTTGCATTAAAATTTTAACAATAACATTGAAAAATACAAGTTAATTTAATCACTGGTTTTCATGATAGCACCGCCTAGCCTATTTACAAAACCTCTTTTAAAATTAGTCTCTAGCAAGT